GCTGGTTTTTCTGAATCACTTGACTGCAGAAGGAAAGAAGCCATCAGAAGCTGCCCAGGCATCCTAGGTTAGCCTGTATGCTCAGTCATCACTTGCCCCATCCTGGGATAGGCTGTCCTCAAGTGAGCTGCTGTAATCAGCCTCTCCCTTTTTGTGTCTCTGGAGCACCAGGCATGTCTCATGGTAGCATATGTTTCAGTGAGCATCTTGGAGAGAAAGTAAGGTTGGACACTGGTGCACTAGAAGGTTCGGGAAGATTTCAGACATATAACACTACCACCTCTTTTACTACGTAAGGTGATATTCTTTTGCCCTCTGCAGCAGGGAGGAGATGAAGACCTGACCCTCTCTCTGCTGCTCTTTTGCAAGATCTTTTACTTTCCAGAATATAATCCAGCAGTTCCACTGGGCTGTTACTGTGAAGATGATGTACAAATTTCACACAGTCCAAGCATTAATAATTATTGTAAATCCAAAAAGGAATAAAAGGAAGGGAACTGAAGCCACTATCAGCCACTTCACCTAAAAATCTGTTCTACTTGATCTAATCACATTTTAGCATAGTTTGCCAGTCAGGAGCAAGTCCCTATTGCCATCTGGCAGTATGTGCTAGAGGCTTTAAGAGTTGCATGGTATCTGGTATCTAAAGTGTATTTACAACAAGTGACAGAATAAAAACTGATCCTCTTCTATTTCTGGATAGGCACCCTTCTATAATCACTACTTTATCTTATTTTCAGAGAGCCATTTGCAAATATTCTATTTACTCAAAGGTAAGAATGACATTCCAGCTATGTTATTGTCATAGCTACACATGCTATAAAATCGGTGATTCACATCTTCCAAAATTATTTGCAGAACTGTAATGTTTCACATTTCCCCTTTTACTATTTTCCTGCTAAAAAAAAAAAAAAAAAAGAAAAAAAAAAGAAAAGAAAGCCTGGATTTTTTGTGCCTTTAATTGTCTGTGTTTAAAGCTCGTGTTTATTTGCGAAGTGAATCGAGAATTCTTAGAGGTTAAATTCAAAAGCCAACAACGTATTTTTCTAGTTTTTAAAGAGAGAACTAATAAACGGTGGTTTAAATTTTAAGCTCTTCTATACAGTCAGGAGGTTCGTGGCTTGTCCGTTGTAATCCAGCATTTTTTCACATCAGGTAAAAAAAGGGTCCCAGTGCAGACAAGGGGAACAGTAAAGCAACCTGCTAATTGCTGATCTCTCTTACGTTCCTGCTGTGCTAAACTGTCCGGACATGTTGAAGTGAAATTTTTCTGTGATTTTCAAGTGACTAGTTCATGGCCCACTGCCGTGGAGTGCAGGAGAAGGGATGAAATGCTTTAGTTTACATGCAACATTTACTAACTGTGTGGGTTTTCCGACATTAAAGAGGGGACAGTGACCCATGCCACCTTTTTCACACTCAAAAGAGCACTGAAAAAACAATCTTCATAGGCTTACCTCAGGCTTCCCTGGCCCTTAACACCCTCCCCCCAGGGTAGGAGCAGAAAGAGAAAAAAGAAGGGATTTTATGCTCCTTTCTCTTCAACTTTTCAGGCGGTATAAGCAGCATTTAGCAAATTCAGCCTCCAAATGGCTCCAAATGCTCTGAGCTGCAGGGGCTCATCCTTTGTTAGCCTCCCTCTATTTACACAGGATTTACTCAGGCTCTCCAGTGAAGAGACCACATGTTTCTGACAGAAAGCACTTCCATTCACACTGCATCAGGCAACAGGATTGTAACCACTGCAGCTTCACGTTGACCTGAGATTAGGGATTTCAGCAACACTGAGATGGTAACAATCTGCTAACTAACAAAAATTATCCATGGAGAACTCTGCTGCTTACTCCAGTTAAAACTACAGTGGCCTGATAGATTAGGTTACTTAGAAGGACAATTAAGAACTAGCTACTGTCAAGAATATGCTTGTCCATCTACAAATAACATATACACAGAGAAAATATCAGCAGAAAAAAAAAAGAGGAAGAAAAAAAATCAGACTGCAGCTTGGATTAAAACAATTTCACCCACTGGCTGAAGACATAAAGTGTAAAAACAGACAGATGGACACATATGTAAATGTGGCTGCATTTGTTTCTCTGGAGCTGGCAAGTTAGTAATAACAGTATAGTTTAATAATTTATTTTCCATGGTATTTTCACACTGGTTAACTGGGCAGTGGCAACTTCTATGCAGAACTTCAGGAGCAGAATAATTCCTTCAATCTGAATGCTACTGGGGCAAACAAACTGAACTAAGAGACCTCTTTTGATTTTACCTACAAGGACTCAGTCCTGGAAACAGATATTAGTCTGGGGATTTTTAAAATTTAGGTTTGGGGTTTTTTTTTTTTACACTCAGTTTAGCTAGTCGGGACTTTTGCACTGAGATTTTTCCAGATTTACTATTTGTGTAAGGGTTTTTCAGAATGGATTACACACGCACACAGGCATAACAATCATTGCTGGTAGGAGCTTGTGCTTTTTTGCTCAATAGCCTTTCAAGGGGCAAAAGAAAATTAGATGGGAACACAGGGCCAGAAAGGACCACACAGATCCAGTTTTTTATGAGGTTTATTTTGACATTTTAATTTGGCAAATTATTTTGCTTCTGCAGGAAAGGACAAAACAATTCATTTCTGTAATAGTAACTCATGCATGCATTCAATAAGCATGTAAAAAGTACATGGTATATTCTAAAGTTCTCCATAGTATATCATAATAAAGCTCTTTTGGGCACTCAATGATTCATTTTTAGTGATCTCTCAAATGCCCTTATCCACAGTTAACACTCAGATTTTATTAAGGAAGAAAGCTGGGACAAATGTCCACTTAAGTCCCAGCTCTCAAATTCAACTCTGCTTGCACTGCAGTACCTAAAGCTAAAGCTTTTTAAATGTTCTATTCACCTCCCCTGTGTGGCATTTCTGCTAACACAGAGTTCACAATCTTTCAGCCCCAAACACAGAAGGCTGCTATCTTCAAGTCATCCAAGGAATGTGCCAGATACGATCATCTCCTCTGCAATACAAAGAACCAGAAAGAGGCAGAGACCAAAAGGAAACCATACTGATCAGGTTACTAAAGTCCAGAAAGTCTTTCCCAGAATGCTAAATGTTAATCTTTGAACCAGCAAATGTTATAATTAAGATCCTTGTAGTTGGAGGAAATGCTAGCTCAAGAAGTCAAAGGTACAGCCATTTGAAGCTGTACTTTTTTGCACGTCTGTACTAATCTTGCACCCCTCATGCTGGCACAACCACCACCAAGCACTTTGTTCTATTCAAGCAAAATTATTGTTAATGTCAGTGGCAGTTTTGCCTGAGTAAGGAGTGTAAGACCAGGTCCTTGTCTTGTTCACACAGAATTGCAAGCACTGCACAATTCCGGAGGAGACATACTCATTAAAACTTGTAGTTTAGGCTGATTTATGATGCTTTTCTGTTTAAAAGTGAAACTCACTCAGTACCTCACCCAGAAAAGTGCTCAGTGCACTTGTTTCTATGCGGTTTTAACTTCAAATATCCCCTCCCCACCTCAGCACAAGTTGGGAAGTTTACTCCCAGGGTTTGGCACCTAGGTTGAAGGAAAGCATTATTAAATTAGGTTGAAGTATTTTGTCTTCTTTGGTAATTATTTTGCAGTGTGAATGTAAATAGCTGTTATTCTGTTTAAAATTTTCATCCTATTGAACACTGTCCACAAAATGTCCTTGTGCTGCTGTTTAAATGAATTTTTTTTTAAATTGCTATTTTATATGTTTTTAGAGAAGTATTTTTAGCATCCTCGTAGTATTCTGTTAAGAATACCAGCTGCAGACTTTGGCTACAGCTGAGACAACAGTAACAAGTCATTAAAAAAATCGGGAGACAAAAAAAAAAAGGCTTTTTTTTTCTTTTTTTTTCCCCAAAGCACATTTTCTTTAAGAGATTAATTTCTTTTGGGGGATTCTTTATCCTTGATTGAGTAAGTGGGATGTTCTGTTTCCTCAATCAACTGTACCAAAGTTAGCATACATCAAAAAGCTGTGTTTTATTTTAAGTACCATTTGTTATTTGCTCCCCTGTTATTTTAGTCATTAGAATAATATCAAATGTGGGCAAAATAGCCAAGTACAAGTAAAATTCTACCTGCAGCTGAAGTAATTAAGTTCAATAGTATCATCTTATCAGTATTCAACCTTTAGCATTTTGCAGTTGTTTATATATAGCAGAATATGGAGAACTTACAGTAGATGATGGCTAAAACCTGTACTCTTCTTCATTAAATCATTAATGTAGCTTCTTTAAGAATAAAAATTATTGGGTGTTTTTCAAAGCCAAATAGCCATCAGAACATCTCAATTTTCACTAGAGCTGCCACAAACTTAAAAAATGTGAGGTATTTTACTGTCTTGCAGTTCCCCTTAAACAACATGCTGTTGGACACAACTGTTTGTCCAGATCCCTAAAAATGATGCTCACTAATACAGCAAGAATCCATGTACTGTCCACATTAGAAACCTCTCTTTTCAGGGTTATTTAACTATTAAAAAAGCATCAGCTGAAATATTGCATGTAAGTACACATTCATGGGATATTTTCATAATTTCAAAAAAAAAATGTTAAAGTAGAAATGGAACAGATGCTTATTCCTGAGAGATACTATGTTAAAAATTTCAATTATTAAAATGGACATTTGTTAGGCCACAAGACCAAAATGCACATTAGTCTATTTTAAGATGCATTTAAAAAAAAAAAAAAAAGAAAGATGGCTGAACGTTTAATTAACAACAACAACAAAAAAATGTTTTAATAGAAAAGTGTTAAAATGAACCATAAAAGCTTTTTCCAGGTGATAAAATGTGCACAAATGTGTATGTTACATAAAACACAAATAAGAGCACCATCTCGGTATGCATTCACAAGCACCTGAGCAGCATAAGAAGAAATTCTTGCTGTGAATGCATAGTCCAAAAAAAAAAAAAAAAAAAACAAAACTCCAAACTTGGCAAGTCTTACATACCATAAGAGCTCCAACACCTATGCACAGTAGGGTGGATTAACCCGCTGGGTGCTGCAGGCATATATATGCACCTCCTCCTAAAGTGTTCATTTGGCTGGCAGTCTGGAAAATGCCAGAATGTGAAGGGTTACGTGGGAACACTGACAGTCTGCTCTTGCAGGTTTAAGTTAAAGCCCATACTTTAAATATAGTGTGCTGGGTATTTGGAAACATAATTAATAATGTTTATAAGTGGTATGCTATTTGGTGCTCACAATAAAGGGCTCGATCTGATGTTCACTCCACTGGTGAATCACATTCCACAACACAACTATGTGCTTTGGAACTGCCCATATTTGCTTTGGGTACCATTTTTCAGGAGTCTTTTCCTCCAAGGGGCCTTGCAAAGGTAAAGTATAACCCATCTGTGCCTCATCTGCTATACACATAAAATGGATGCTTAAAACCGGCTACTGGAAAGCCCTGAAAAGTTTTGTTGTTCAGGTGCAGTAGACAAATGATAAGAGCAAGCATTTAAGAGCCAAAGCCCCTATACAGTCCTTCCTAGTTTCTTAGAGTCTGGTTTCAGCCATGAGGGAAGATACAGTTAGGAATATACAAATTCCTCAAACTGGAAGAAGCAAGCATAAAGACGTATGAATTCTGGCCAGAAAATTTCAAGCGGCTGACAAAAAAAAAAAAAAAAAAAGACACAAAAGGCTGACAGGCAACTTATTTTCTCCCATTGTAATTTTACTGGACTGTTTTGGGATAATATGACTAAAAAACAGCACCCAAACTATGTCTGCACCCAAATTATCCCATAAAATGCTTTGGACCTGGTTTAAGTCATCAAAAGAGCTGACACCTGATGCTTTGCTTTTCTATTCATAACGTGTAATTTCATTTCAAGTCTTTCATTGTAGCAGAAAGTGTTGCATAAGACAAATATGCAGCGCCTACAAAGTCTTCCTAGATTGGTTTGTGTCCCTGGGCTGTGCCTAGGGAAGAGCCCCACAAGTTGGGCTCTAGGGAACTTCCAACACCCCACTCCCCCCTTCAGAGGGCTGGCTATATGCAGGAACTCCAAACAAAAGACATGGCAAGTTACGAGACTTCTCTTCCTTCAGGTTCAGATGGGTTAAACTGAGTTTCCCTCTGGACAGGCTGTTCACCTAGCCAGTTGGAATGCTGACATGTATGCCATAAGATCAGACCTAAGCCCCACCAATCAAACAGCAGTCTGGGCTAAATGTGCTGATGCAGCAAATTTCCAGATCTTGATCACACTAGGCAGGGGAGTCATTCTTCTCAGTGATAAAGTCACTGAATGCACTCTTGAGGAGATAAAAAATTGAGAACTGGCTGACTTTGCACCATTTGAGTGAGGTATTTACTGCTGACCCAGAACAACAGAATGGTCATGTTCTGATACCAGCTAGGAATCACTGTAGACATGGTCATCTTTGACTCCCTACTGCAAGGCTATTCACAGGAATCCTTTCTTAGCTGCTTAGTGGCATCAATCCAGAAACTACAGTGTTTGAATGCATTAGATTAAACTTCACACAGCCCCTTCTCCTCTCTCCTTCCCCCCGCCTCTTAAAAACTCTGTGAAATTATGCCAATGACGTTATCCCCCTTTGCCATTTTATAGTTAAGGTATTTTTACCTGCATTTACTATGTCAGTTTTTAAAATTTACCAGAGTTTATACAGCAGCTAAGAATTGAGATGCTAATTATATTTGAGTATTATCTAACACAAGATATTATATTCCTTTTTCTGACAGAAAGGGACCTTCAGCAAACTTTAGGAATAAAGATTTTCAAAAGTGTTCAAATCTGCAAGCAACACAGTTTTCAATGAAAACTGCTTTAAAAATAATATTCCTTTTGATAGTAATAGGTGATGGCTCTTACATAAGTGAATATATTATTACTTTTAAAGACAAATATGTCAATGCATTCTTGTCCTCATTTGAGCATTACATTTTTGCAAGCCTGAGTATGGTTATTATTTCTACTAATTCTTCTTCATCTCTAAATACATATTGTAAAGAGAACAAACACTCCACTAGAAGGCAGGTTTTTGGACATAAGTACTTGTGATCAAAATAGATACACCAGGACGTCATTTCTTTTCTTCTTCGGCTAAATAGCAGTATTTTGTTTATGTAACTAGGAGCAAAAGCAACTCTTAGTGCTACAATTTTGGTAAAGAGATCACACAGGTTTTTGTATCTGTGGCTGACCAAAATTGTGAAGTATGAACAGTAGTGTCATCCAGTCTTTATTTTCCTGTGGCATGCGTGGGAATTTGTTGTAACAGACAAGGTAAAAAACTAAGATTTGGCACTTCATGTTTCTACCTCCAATGAACTCAATGACAAAACACTCTATGCACCTCACTCTTCACCTGCCTCACACACTGTGTTTCTGTCAGCATGGATGATGCACACAGAACAACGCTGCTTTCCCAGGGAGAAGTGCTCTGAGGGACTGGGACCTGCCCATGCTGCCAGTCTTTCAGCAGCAAGGACATTTACATGTGCATCAGCCCTGCGCGTTTGAATGGAGATAACTTCTTCCTGGCTCTCAGAGTGCAGCAAAGAATTATCACATGGAGTGCAGGTTTGGACCATTTTTCTGAAATAAGAAACACCATTGTTCATAATTCATTTATGAAGCACTAGCAAGGCCCCTTTTCAGCCCCTTTTACTTCCTACAAAATAGATTCATCTGGATGGTGGCAAGGAAAGAGAAACTATTTCAAGGCGATGAGCAGGCCAGACTTTTCTCCTCAACCAGCGCCACATTCTGGTGCCCATGGTGGCTCTTCCTGTACATGTTAAAAATTTGGTAAACAACGCAGGTCTGGGCCCTGGCCATTGATGGTTTGCAGATTGTTCATCCTTAGCAGCACCACCCCATCTATTACTGCGGAATTAGTTGACAATACTACTAGCTCTACCAAAAAAATAAACTAATTGGTCCCTGAGGATAGCTAGGTGCTTTGGAAGTCTTTTTAACGAAAAGAAAAAAATTAATCTCCCACAGAGATTTGCCAACCTTCCTATCCTCTATCCAGCACATTGGGACTTCTAAATTACATACGATAATTGACATCAAATATCTGTCCCATCAGTGAATATCTTTATTAGCATCAAAATCACTCACAACTAGTGTTCCTCAATGTTATTAAACAGAACTTGTTCTAGGTGTTGCCTTACTAATTAGTCAGGATGAGCCCGAGGAAGAAAATCTGGGTCATGTTAAATTAATTGGAATGAGCATGAAAATTAGCAGAGCAAACTGCATCAATTTTCTATAGAGAGCCTTTCTTCATGTTGAGAATAAAAATGGATATTATGAGGCATTAACCAAACTGCCTTCTGTGACTGCCAAGAGGTGTGTTACAGTAGCCCAAAAATATCATGCTCACAGATTTTCAGAAGTTAATGAGACATTTCCAGGAATGGTAAATACATGGTATTAAAATGGGTGTGCCTCTTATGGGAAAATGCCAAGTCATTTCATGTTTATTCAGGCATAACAAGCTCCTCAAAATGAGCATAATTTAAGAGGTGAATAGTGCAAAGAGGGCTAACATTCAACTAATTTTCCTTAAGAAAGAAAAGATTAAATTGAACAAAAAATGAATTAAGAGGTTTACAAATCAACAAGTCAACCATCAGATTGCAGCCTCTGCTCAGTATATTCTCATCAGCCCCTGCCATGAAGTTTTCAAAAAATGTCCCGAAGGCAGGGAACAAAGCGAGCAGAACTGATTACAGCCACACTCACCGCCTTGCTGTCTAAACTCTGTTTGGCTTCCTAATGAGCTCACTAAAAACCTAATTCATCTCCCATAACCCTTCTCAGCCCTCCTTGAAATTCACCATTATGGAAATTACAGATGAAACATTTACAGGCTGTGTTCAAATTACTGCTTCTTCAACAGGCAGGTCCCTGACCTTCACAATGAACACAATAGAGGTATGTCCGGCATGAAACCACTCGAGCCACAGCCTATAGAATAAAGAGGCTCAGGAAGGTTAAGACTTTTTCTCATGGTGACAATGATTTCCGCATTAATGCTTTCAGTTCCATGAATATGGGAATTTTGTGGGTTTGACAGTATATCAAATACAAATTGTAATTCAGAAGGGGAGAAATGAGTTGTACTGATGACAAATAGCTGAAATAAGCTAATGTGAATTCCCAGCCTGTTCATGAGGAAACTCCCTCAGTTCCTCATTACATGAAGTCAAAATGATCCTCACGGCACCTAGCCTGTAACTGGAAGATTACTGAATTGATGGATCCTTAGTTTAAAATGCAGCTGTTTTATTCTGCTTTAGTAATTAATTCTTTTTCCAATACCATATTGATTAAGCGTAGACCCTGATAAAGTTCAAACTGAGAAGAATCTCTAGTGACTTCCTTAGCTGCTCCAGAGACTCAATGAAAACTTCCTACAATTCCACCTGCCTCCTCAGAGTGCTGATCCAATGAACAGAACAGGTTTTTTCTCATAAATTAGTTAGGCCATGTGGAGCTGTATTAGCTGATCGTTGCTTTTGTCTCTCTACTTGCTGACTTGCTTTTCACTTTTGCTGTCCTTTGTGTTGTCACACACAAAGTCGGAGTGCAGCTGCCATGCTGAACCAGAACCAAGGTAAAGAACAAATCGTACAAACTACATTTCCCCCCACTACACTTTATACAGCTGCAACTCCCTGATCAGCGCTGCACTCAATAAGGCCTCCTGGGATCCAACTAGCAGAAAAATCCATGCTGAAGCACGCAGTCATTCTGTGGGACTAAAGGGGGGGGGCTGGAATGAGTAACCTGTTTTCCAAAAAAACCCAACCAAAAACCCTACAAACAAACAAAAAAAAACAACCAAAAAAACCCCAAACCACAAGCCAAACCACGCACCTAAAACATTACAGCCACTTGAGACAAGAAATCACCACTTCACCTATAACAAGTGGGACATGGATCCTTGTTGACTAATAGTCAGCTGGTAGCTCTCTATGAATGACCACTGCAAACACAGTAGCATATTACTAGGAGCAGCAATCACCAACGTGATACTGCTTTTCAGAGAGTCACCTGT